AGTGGAGATTGGAGTGAACCATAATCTGAACAGGGGTGTGACACTATGAGTTTGCAGTTTAAGAACACAAAACTTCTCAACACTTTACAATTTTAAAATGGAGCTCTTGCTGCCTAGAAAGATCATATCTGAGAGCCCATGGCATCTGAAATATTAAAAAAGCCTACAATAGACTATATTCTGTATTTTTTTTTTTTGTCAGGAGTGGAGGTATAATTTCCTTAGAAACTTCCACAAAAAATGCCTGCCAGTGCAAACCACAATGCCAGAATGTTGCTAGGGTGTTGTTGGTGGTTGCTTACTACAAAAAAAAATCTCCAAAGGTTGTTTATTATTAAACAATAATTAATAATAGAAGCACTCATAATAAGTCAGAGGGAGCATGTTTGGAGCAGATTTCTGTGTGTTTCCTTACCAATGATAAATTCGCTGCTCAGCGCCTCTGTGCTTAACATGATGAGTTCTGCCCTGTCAATGGGGTATATGCCGAAGCATGCTAATAGGACTTTTAATTTGCCAGTAACCTGGATTAATCGCTTCCGGCGAATTTAATGCCAATGCAAAATCCGGTGCGTTTAAGGTCTGTTTTCTTTAAAAAATCAGCGATCTCCACTAGCTGAGTGATATCCGATTTAAAGTGGGTCTCAGATTGTACATGAAGCACTGCATTAAATTACATTTCCCCCGCCATGTCTTTATAATATGAGCATTTATTTTACCCCAGTATATTCAATGGAGCTTCTGCGTTAGCCTGCCGATTCTGATGGGCGCGTGCGAGTAAACGGCTTTTTGTCTCGTTTTACGCTTGAGCAACTAAATAAATGCTAAAGTTTATTTAACTGAATGTATTTTAATGACATTAAAACATCGATGCTGTATAAGGAACCGTATAAAATGAAAAAAAAGTTCACAATAACAGGTCACCGGAAGTGTATCAGCATGGGAAAAGCACTAGCTCGGCATATACCCTATATTATGGGCCCTAAATGTCTCCACCAGAGCCTCAAATCCTTCATCCCAGAGCCACTCACACACATCCTCCTCTGACCAATCACAGACCAGCGTTCTGGAGTAGCCCTGTGACTTCCTTCCTGTCAACACACACACACACAAACAGGAAGAGGTTTATTATCATCCTCAATGCTGAACAACTCTCATTATATTCCAAACAATGCGTCTCGTCCTTCCCAAACATAAACAAAGCATCTGCCCTGATTCATTATTCATGTGTGCGTGCCTGAACAGATTTATACAATATTGCTTCCCTGTTGTTTGTTTGCACGGCTTCAATAGTCCACTGTTTTTAAATATGCAATATTTTAATTACATTTGTTTATCATTCAAACTAGAGATACTTTAAGTTACAAAAAAATACATTAAGTGCCGCCTCATGTAGCTACAAGAGGCATCTATTATGAACGGCACAGAATGTTGGAAACTTCGGTTCTTGCAATCGGTTCCTCAAACCACATGCATCACGATAATAATACAATTTTATGCTTAAATATATTTTATTGATGTTTATTACAACCAATGTTTGCTTTTAGCTGAACGCTTTCTTACTGTTTGTGATTCCGCGGCTCTCGACTGAATGAATCACACATGTTCAAATATTCGGTTCAATGTTTGATTGACTCGTGAACGGACTGGGATGAGTTGTTTGGCAATCAGATTGCCTCTTTCAGAAGTTTAACATTCCTGCTACTCCTAGTGAATATGCCATTGTTGTAAACTCCATCCCTTCTGGCGTGTTTATTCTAATGCAAGGTGTCACACTACCATGGCCATACACTCACTCCCTGAAATAAATCGACACAATGGTTGGAAGTGTGTGTTTTTCAGCAGACCAACAGAAAAATAACTGTAAAATTAGAGGCTTCTTCCAGAGAGAGATAATAACAATCCCTTATGTAATACCTTATTGGAACAACACTGTTGAAAATATTCCATGGGAGAAAGTATGGACTTTGCCTCACAAGTATCTGATTACAAGTAAAGTAAACGAAGTAACATTTAAATTAACTCACAAATGTTATCCTACTAAGGCCTGTCTTCAGAAATATAAGCCTGACATTGATTTAAACTGCTCATTCTGTCACTCTTCGGAGGAAGACTCTATTCATTTGTTCTGGCAGTGCTCCTTCACAGAGAGATTCTGGTCAGATTTGTTGATCTTTATTCAATCTTATATTATGAGTGACTTTTCCTTTTCTTTTAAAGTTATATTCTTTGGATTGTTTGAAGACTCTAAAGAAAACATGGAAAAAGTATATGTAGTTAATTTGTGTATTCTATCAGAAAAGTTTCATATTAACAAACAGAAGTTTAGTAGCTCTAAACCTATTTTTGAACTGTTCAAAATCGACCCAGACCAATATTTGGAAACTATCCAGCATTCTCTTCATCCAAAACCAACAAAAACTGCATCCTTATATTCTTCCTTTGTGTCTCTTTAGGGTGTAACTTTATTTCATCAGTCCTTTTTTTTTGTTACCCTGGCGTTTATTTGTCTTTGTGTGTATTTCTGTGCATTTGTTTATTTATTTGCATTATTCGTCTCTATGTATGTAATTGTATTTGATCTACCTGTTTAATAAAATAAATAAATAAATAAATTGGCGATCAGATTGATGACTAGCAGAGGCAACTATGGTTGCAAGTTGTGTCGTTTCCTATTGAGTTTAATGTAACTTGCGACAATCGTTTCCTAACACACCACTGACCGAAAAGACTGCGTAAACAGTTCAAAACTGAGTTATTTCTGTAAATCGGTTCTTTCAAACTACGCAAATTATGTTAATATTACAATTCTATGTTTTAATAAAATGATGTTCGTGAAAACCAATATGTGATGGTCGCTTTTAGCCCACGAGCTTAACGCTAACCGTCTGTGATTCAGCGGTTCTCTTCTCGGCTAACAGAATCAAACACGTTGGAAGAAGATTTTCGGTTCAACGATGAATTGACTCGTGAACCGAATGGGCGGATTTGTTTGATTCGCGAAACGCGATCAATTTGGTGATCTAGCAGTTTCATAGATATGTACACTAGATCAGTGGTTCCCAACCTGGGGTCCGCGCCCCCCTAAGGGGGGCGCCAGAGTTCACAGGGGGGGCGCGGGAGAGGATAAGTATTGAGGTAGAAAAAGGCATAAAAATGCTCCACTATTATAAATGGCTTTGCAATTAATCGAATATCCGATTTAGATTTCGGTTTCAAACGATTATAAAAAAGCATTAATCGAGATAAATGATTATTGCATCATATTTTGCCACGTTCCAGTTGTACACGCTCTTAAATGGCTCTTGAAAGCGCGAAAAAGCTTATGTGTGTGTGCAGCACGATCACGCAGTCAGAACATGCGGCCGGTCAGCATTCACTCTCATTCACACACTGAGACGAGCAGAGGAGCGCAGACATCTAAAGTCATCTTAACGTGAGCGCTTTAATGGTCAAATAGGTGTCAAAACGCGGTGTTTAGTGATTATTTACATTAACCCTCATTTGTGTAATAAACAAACGAGTTGAGGATCAGAAGATGTGAAAGAGAAACCATTAAAGAGACATCGCGCTATAATCCTTCTGCCGCCTGTTTTTATATTAAACAAACACAACGAGAAAACCCTCGCTGCTCTTGACTGAAGGACTGCTGTAGCTAAAGTGTTTTTCTTACAGTGAAGATGCTTAAAACACAGTTTGTTTTATATTTTTATTCTATTGTATTTATTTCTCTTTCCTTTGCAGGGTGGAAAATAACTGTATGTATACACTTGAAGTCAGAATTATTAGCCCTCTTGAATATTAGCAAACCTTTTCCTGCCCAATTTCTGTTTCATGGAAAGAAGATTTTATTAACTTATTTCTGAACATAATAGTTTTGATATCTCATCTCTAATTACTGAGATTTCTCTTTGTCTTTGCTATAATGACAGCACACATAATATTTTACTAGATATTTTTCAAAATACAAGCATTCAGATTAAAGTGCAGTTCAAAGGCTTAATTAGAGTAATAAGGCAAGTCATTATAACGGTAGTTTATTCTGCAGACAATCAAAAATATATATTGCTTAAGGGGGCTAATAATATTGACCTTAAATTGGTTTCAAAATATTTAAACCTTTCTTTATTCTAGCTAAAATAAAACAAATAGAAGAAAAAATATTATAGGAAATAAAAAATTCCTTGCTCTGTTAAACATAATTTGGGAAATATTAATAAAAAAAAAAAAAAATCTCAGGAGCGCTAATAATTTTGACTTTAACTGGCAATCGTTTTGAATAATCGTGATTACAATTATGACCAAAATAATCGTGATTATGATTTTTCCCAAAATCGAGCAGCCCTACTATTATATATGTATTTTTAAGTACCAAAAAAATAAAAATCTAAACGCATGCTTAAAATTCCAACATAATAGTGAAAATAATTAAAATAAATAACTTTAAATAATTATTTAAATTTTGCTCACTCGCGCAATCTGCTTGTCAACGTGTTGTAAAGGCAAAATCAAAACAAAAATGGCAGACAAACGTAAATGCAGTGATTCTTCAGAGGCGAAGAAAAAGATTAGACAGTATGACAAAGCCTACCTAAATTTTGGTTTTGTTGAAGGCCAAGACAAGTTAAAACTGATTAATTAATATTTTCTATACATATTACTATATATTAATATTACACAAACACACACACACACACACACACACACACATATATATATATATATATATATATATATATATATATATATATATATATATATATATATATATATATGTGTGTGTGTGTGTGTGTGTGTGTGTGTGTGTG